AGACAACTTTTCAGACAAGAGAGGATATTTGAGCACATTAGGTTCCATGTCTTCATTCTGGGTGCCCACCCTTCACATTATTCGGCCAGCCGAATACATAAACGTATTTTTAACACAACATTAACCTGTTCTGTGTGTGTGTGTGTGTGTGTGTGTTAAAAAGACTCCAACTGTAGCATTTTTCTCTCCCACTGCCCAAAGTAAGTTTTTCTCATTCCTTAAATGAAACAAGCCTTTCCCCACTCCCTAATTGTCCCCCTGATGTGTGCCTTTGATGTGTCTCATCACTTCTTGCATCTTGCTGTCATGTTCTGTATTTTCTTGGAGCCATTGGGTGCTAAGGAATTTGGTCTCTAGCTCTTCTGGGGAAGTTTGGTGAGCTGGTACAAAAGAGGTGATGAATGAGGCTGTAAATTCAGTAAATAAGAAAGGTACATAAACTTCCTGATATTTGTTGGCCTGTTTTTTTTTTTTTTTACATACTCTATGCAGTGCCTGTGTATATGTACATAGCAAAATAAACCTGCTAAGATATAATGAGTTGGTGTGCATTCTTTAGTAGGAATTCTTCTCAATCAGAAGAAACCTAGAATGGAGGGCCAGGAAAGAACCCAGGAAAGACAAAGATTTTATTGACTAACTGCCCTGTCTGTGTAGGGGTGCTGGCAAGGCTGCTGAGGCGAACAAATGAAGCATCATCAGGAGTTTAGTATCCTTATGGAGTAGTATCTAAGAATGCTGCCATTTTATATTTCTGAAGCACTTCACAGTTTCCAAAGGACATTTGGAATTCCTTATCTCATTTGATCTTGCCTTGGCTTTAGTCAAGAACTCCTGCTCAGAAATGTGTTCAGTGACTATGTACACATTTGGAGAATGTGACCTGACACATGCTACCTTGGCCTGAAAGCTGGAGTACTAAAGAGGCAAAACTGTGTTGATGAGCTGGTGCTGGTATGGGCAACTAGACACTTAGGTTCTGATGAAGAGGCTCATCGCTGGGAAAAAGTGAGATTTTACTGGCTACTCTTCCGCATTACTAGGTTTTATCTTTTTAAAGATATAATATGCCTTTAAAAACAATTTAGAAATAATATAGAGCCTTGGGATTTGATGTAGAATTGCATATTTGTGACCAAAAAGAGCACTGGTTTTCCTGTAATAAGGAAAGCAAACCCAACCAGGAAAGGAGGCAGATGTGTTGCTCTGCAACATTGCAGGCATATGAAATTGTACAGATCTCACTGAAAACTAGGAATGATATCACTTGGAAATTTAACCAAAATTATTTCCATCAGTGGACAAAGCACATTTTAAAACATTGTATGCCTTTTTCAGATATCGTTCTTTTTCTAAAGTCACATTTGTTGTTTCTGATAGAGGGACATAATTGGGAAAATTAACTAGATAAAAAAATGAAATTTAAAGTATAAAAATTCTGCTTTTTCTGATAAATTTTACATTCATTGTTTCCTTGATTTAAACAGAACATTCTAAAAATATTACCCCCATAGGGTGCATATTTTTATGTACATATTATTTTTGTTTAGAAATTATGAGCCAATGAAGAGTGCAAATGACCTTGGCTATTGTACTTATTTATCAATAGAAATAATAGCTTTTTTATGTCTGGATACAAGTATCTTCTCTACTAATCATGCAACTTCCATACATTTCCAAGAGATGATTTGGATTGCATGATTACAGGAGGCTGGAGCTTCCTACATGCCCCTGTATTTGTACATAATATTTATGCAATATTCTGACTTGGCTATAATCTATAATTTCTGGCTATTATTTCAGTTGCAACCATCATTTTTAGATTAATGGTTATAATTTTGGTAGGGAATACATGAAAAGTTATATGTTCATGCTTGAAAGGAGGATCATTAAATATTCATTATTACCACTCAAATTAGTTGTCATGCTCTATAAAACAGTTACCCGTTATCATTTCACTAGTTTAGATTCAGCGGTAAGTGAACAGCAATATATGGCTCTTATCAGTAGAGGAATTTTTGTTGAGGAACAGAGGGAGAAATGATTTTAAAACCCATTTGACATATTTATGTTGACAAATTATTTAAAAGAATTACTGCATTGTCAATAAACATGTTTGTATGTTGGAATAGGATTGTGACTGGATTTACTTCTAGCTGTTTAATTACTCTATGATTGTGAAAAACAGTGCTTCTTCAGATGGTTATGAGGGGGGAAAATGAAAATACAAAGGTTGGGATATTTTAGTGTTTTGCACTTGCCTAAGCTTGCCATAAAAAACCACTTTTCATTTTTTAAGCAGGTACTGAAGTCTTGCTTTTTCAGTGGAGCTAGATTGTATAATTTGTTAGTTTTCCCCATCTGGTAACAAATCTATCCTTAAGAAAAAAAAAAGCAAAAAGCAAAACAAGAGATGGATTTTTATAAATGTTGTGGGTGAGCATATGTGGAGATGTCTCCTTAACCTGTTTTGGAAACATGAAGTGAAAATAAATATGAATGTATTTTAGTGTAAAAACATTTTGTGTTTTTCTTCCACATATCCTGATATGCCTATTCAGTTATGTGAAGACATCAGGGACATCCACATGATTGTTTTGTTTTGTTTTGTTTTATCACATTTCATACTCTTCAGTAATTCAAATTGGCTCTTTTTCCATAGAACTCCCCCCCATAAATTTGATTCTGATCTCATCTAACTTTAGAGCTTTCTGTCTTAAAGAGTCAAATTGTAGCTGATGAACACATTTTGCATTTTTCCACATTGCATCTGGACTCTTAAGAATGATGGTTTATTTTATTTTATTTTTTTCTGCACAGAGGAGAGGAAAAAATATATAGGTCCATGAATCAATCTAGATAATGGGGAAGGCTGAATGTAATAAATAATACAGTAACAACCCTAAACTAATGAGCTGTTGCTAAGGTACATTTCATAGGCTCATCCTCTATATAAAAAGTCACTAATAACCCCTTGGTGTAATCAGATGATAAAGCTTTGCCATAAGGCAACACCTGTGCAATTAGAACTGCAGATTCTTTTGCACGTTTCATTAATTTCAGGATTTTGTAAAGGCACAATGACTACACTAATAATCTAGTCTACTTGACTCCATGTCTACCGGAAACAAAGTGTCTAATTAGATAAAGGTAATTAATTAGAGATAAATGGAGCTAATCAGGCTCAGTTAACACTAATTCTCTGAATTAAGACATTTTGGGACACCTACTATCCTGCTGACTTTGATATTTTGCATTAAGAATAGGTTCTAGAGGAGTCAGAAAATACTGGCATTTGAGAACTGAGCAGTCTTTTGATGGCATATTTAGGCATCTGAAGTGAAAGGAGAGTTTTCTTTCATATTGTGCTATTTCACCACCTTTCTATTGCAGTTTAAAGAATTCACTTTGTAGTTATTCCAACCTGTGCTAGTCTCCATATAAATTTTAATAGCCTTTGCTATCATTTTTGTTATCTGTCTAGCCCACCAATGGAAGAAAATCACAAGTTGTTCTTTCTTAAATAAAGAATTAACATGTTACATTAAGGAAATGTCAAGACTCATCAGCCTATATCCTAAAATTCTGATCTTTTAAAGAGAACAAACACCTATAATTCTGATCATTTAATTCTGATTCTTTAAAGAGAACAAACCTCTGCTTTGCAGTGTTGGACTGAAAACTTAGTGGTTTGGGGGAAAGATCATCGGCTTTTTTTTTTTTAAGATTTTATTTATTCATGAGAGAGAGAGAGTGAGAGGCAGAGAGACATAGGCAGAGGGAGAAGCAGGATCCATGCAGGGAACCTGATGTGGGACTCGATCCTGGGACTCCAGGATCACACCCTGAGCTGAAGGCAGATGCTTAACCGCTGAGCCACCCAGGCATCCCAAGATCTTTGGCTTTGAAGTCAAAAGACCCGAATTCAAATTTCTGCCCTCTTACTAGGTGAGTGATCTTAGGAAAAATGCTTAACTTCTCTGAGTTCCTTTGATTATAAAATGGAAATGATGGTGATGCGGACTTTACAGGGTTATCATGAACACTGAGCAAGGTAACTGTGTAAAGACTGGTTATTTTTACCTTTTTGTGATTGGGATTGAACACATAACCTGGCACTATAACGTGGTTGAGGACAAGCTGAAGTATTGAAAGTGTTCCATTTTTATCTCAACCTCATGGTATTCTTTGGGCTACATTTATATATGTAGCAAGGAAGAGATCAAGAGTTTTCTCCCAAATAGTCAAATCAAAAAAAAAAAATCCTGCAAATTCTTTACTTGAAGAATCTGAATTTATCTGCTTTTGTTTTCTATACTGGTATATTTAGCCCTCTGGGCAAGTTGCTCCACAGCTCACAGGGTATGGACAGTTTGCCCCAGAATTGAACTCTGGGATGTAGCTAAATGTGAAGCTTGAAATCTTTGTTTTATAATTTCTCCCAGGTATGCCCCTTCCTCTTTCTGTTTTCTGTCCTACTCCTAAATTATCTAATGATCTCATAACTAATATCCCTGCTTTCCTTTCTTTTCTCCTATAATTCAGTGTTACCAATTTAATCTTCCTCACACAACACTTTCCTCATTCCCTGTTCTGTCAAGATCATAAGGAGATTCCTTTTTAAACTAAGCCTCTATCAAATAGGCAGTCAAAGCATCTGTATCTGGTTCATGTTATTTATCCAGCTTATCTCCTGCCCTTCTCTGCCAATGGAACCTTTTATTTCAGGGAGCCAGCCTTATGGTTCTTCACCACACCCATCTCTTATTTATATTCTTGTCCCCCCACCTGACAACCTCTCTCCTTTTCTTTCAAGATTTATTTTTAAATCCTGCATTTCCCCTAAGGCCCACCTTGACAACTCTGGCCTACCAAGAGCTTTCTCATCTCTGTAGACCCACTGCAGCTCAGTGGCCTCACACGGATAAGATGCCTGAGGTCAAGAACCATATCCTGTTCTTGTATGTGAGGCAAACCTTTCTCACCATCCTCTTCCCCAGACATCAGCTTTTGCACAATGTGGCCATCGGGAGTGCACAGAACTAAATGATCCATGTGTGTAATCTGTGAGGTGTAGCTTGGCCTGGTCCTTGGTAGTCAAGTCTAATGACTTTTGTAGTAAATCTGGGCCTCTTTGCCCATTGGAGCTGAATTCAACCCTGGAATGAGCCTTTGTGTTTGGAGACAAGATTACCTTGATGAGAGGCCTGTTGTATGTTCCTGAGGCTTTGTTTGTGGCTTGTGGGTTATTAGGTTTTTATGACATGCATGCAGTGAGGGAATGCCAGGCAGTGACCATTAGTATTTCATGACAAAACAAGTAGCAAGCAATAATATTACTACCCAGCAAACATTTCAGAAAGGGCTGAGCAACACAGCCCGAATTTGCATTCATCAGAGATCTTTAGTGGAGTTTTTTGGTGAATGCTCTTATATAGGAAGTTTTCCATGGAGAGTCCATGCCAAAGAACTTGAAACTTGTATGCGTTAGATATCCAGGTTGACTGATGATGGTTGTTACAAAAATATCCAGTTTCTTCCTCTTATATGTAAGTTTTCTTCCTTATCTCTACATCCTTTGGTAGCATCATCCCAAGATTGACTCTGAGTTTGGCTGTGTGTTTTGCTTTGCCATTGACACAGAAGCAAACATGACAGACAAAGACTTAAAAATTACTTGGGCAGGGGCACCTGGATCAGTTACATGTCTGCCTTCAGTTCAGGGCATAATCCCAGGGGCCTGGGATCAAGCCCCGCATTGGGCTCCCTGCTTGGTGGGGAGTCTGCTTCTCCCTCTTTCCTGTTTGTGCTCTCTCGCTATCTCTGTTGCTATCTCTGTCTCTCTCTCAAAAAAAAATTTTTTTTTAAATTACTTGGGTATCAGAACTTGCCCTCTGGCTGTACTTGGACCCCTGAGCACCCCTCTGAATGAGCCCAGGCTAGCTAGAGTGTGACAGACATATGGTCCAGTATCCTTTCCCCAGCAAACAGTTGTCTAACCCCAGAAGTCAAATGGCCTAGCTGACAGCTCACATGAGTCCAGCTGAGACCAGTAGAAGGATACACAGAATTGAACCCAATAGTTACTAAATTAAACCTTAGGTTCAACCTGGGGTTGTTCACCATCCAGCAGTAGATTACTGATACACCAGTGAAGGCTGTCTATTTCACTGCTTAAACTTAGAAGAAATCCAGAAGACATCAAATATTTGGTCTCTAATCTTCGAAGATACATAAGTAGGAGACTGGAGAAACAGGGAAGCAAAAAAGTTTTCTCAGTGTTAGGAAATAAGAAAATGGCTTCAGTTTTTGTTATTTTGGGCTGGTACAGATCAAAATTTGAGTCAGGACTTCTAGAGAGGCGGTAGGCCAGAGCTGAAGATCTATAAACAAGGGATAGCTGAAGTTGTAGGATAGGATGAGAATGCAGAGAAAGACTGGTGACAAAACTTGGTAGGATTCCCTCTTTTAGTGGCCCATTAGAAAAGAGGCAAAGGAGTCAGAGAAGGAGGGACAGAGGGGTAGGAGGCACAGGATCATGTAGTAGAAGCTGAAAGTGGGGAAAACAGAAGAATAGAGTGGTCAGCAGAGCTGATTGCTAGAAAGGGCAAGCATGACAGTAATAATGACTAATAATTGAAGTGCAATTCATAGTTTACGAAGCCCATTTACATACAACTCTTTTCAATGAAGCATCATAGATAGAGTCAGGATCATTATTATGTCCATTTTGTAAATGACAAAATAGTCACAGAACCAGTAAGCGCTTTATAAATATTACCCCATCTGGTAAGATGGCAAATTCCAAATGTCTTAAAATGGATTCTATTTTTTAAAAACGGATTTTATTTTTACTTACAGGAGACCACTAGAACCGTAGTTGAATCTGGCAAAAGGAAAGTCCCTAGGAGCCTTTAAAGAAGCAGTTTCAGAAGAATTGGGGGTAGAGAGGGCAGGAGTTGGGTAGGAGCAAGACTGCGTGGAGATAATATAAAGGATATGGGAGGTAAGGGACAGAACACTGTTGAGTGGCAGGAGAGTGACGTGATAAGACCTTGAGGGGACACCAGGTTTGAAAGGAAAGTAAGGATGACCAAAGCAAGTTTATAGATAGGAGGGAGACAGAGAAGTGGAACATGAAAACGAGAGAAAATAAACAGAAGGGAAAAATGCAAGGAGAATAAAAATGAAAAAAATAAAGAGAAAATAAATGAGAAAAAAAATCTGAAAAGCAGTTCCTGAAGATTTAGATGCCAGTTCCTGGAGCACAGGTGAAGAAAGGGCCTAGACTTGAGAGGGAACAGAAAGGCTGGTGGGAAGAAGAAAAAGAGGGAAATGACAGCACGAGATGTTGAGGTAGAGAGGAAGGAAAGTAAATCAGCATCTTCAAATCCTGTGCTCATTTTCGCTCCAAGAAGAGCGGTTTGCCATCTCAGGAAATGCCTGGCATGGATCTACCATCATAATAAGACAATTAAAGATTTCTGGAACTTCCTTCAT